GATGAAATATGAAATGTACAATGAACAAAATGGAGAATGTCACATGTGATGAATATGAAAACATGTTTGGTGATGCATTAGATGGAAAAGGCAATACGATGGACATACATGAAATTTTCAAGACATATGGAAGATTTAATGTGAAATGAATGGGATGGATATATGACATGTGAAACAATCATGAACTTCTTTTTTTTCTTTTTTCTTTTTTTTTTTTATGCATGGGGTTGAAAGTGAAGACACCAAGTGTATGGAATGCTCCTTACCTCAAGAATGATGTCTAAATGCAGAAGATGAATAACTAATCATACCTCAAATGTGTATAAAAACGAAAACCTGTCATGTGCGGAGACAAAGTTAGTGAAGAAAAATGCCCCTTTTGTCTTAGACACGGGATCCTTAACCTCACGGGTGGGATGCTAAGGGAAACATGTCTTAGGGTTGGTATCTCTCTAAGGTCAATACATGTTTTCCTACAGGGCATTAGGCCTTCTCAACCATTTATCCTTTTGGAATCAACGGGAGACATTTCCAAAAGCTAATACACAGAATGATATTACATCATCAAGTGTCGTATTAACCAATGGAAACAACCTAATGGGAACCGATCTTACTCCTCAAAGCGGGAAGAATTGCTCTTCCAAGCCAGATTCATAAGGATTCTAGACTAGAGGTCGGGTTCACCTCCGACACGGACCTAATGCAAAATGAGAGTGGGTGTGTGCAAAGGGGCATGACACTCCAATAACTTGCACAATGGCAACCACAAAAATAGCAACATATATCCCACAGCAATCAAATAAAGCATGTAAAGCACTCAACAAATATATCATCCACAAACAAACCTACTTACACAGCAGGAAGGGACTCACCTCGTACTCCCATGCCAAATGCAAAAGGTTAGTAACACAAAGCAACCAACACTTAGCATGCAACAAGATATAAATAATCGCACAAGAGGGAAGAGACTCACTAAGTACTCCATAGCCAAGTGTAAAAGGTGAGTATATCCACACACAAGCAGGCAGTCAGGTAAGCATGATGCATGATGGATAAGCATGTTATATTAATGATGAATGAGCATGTGAGATGATATGATGCATGAACATGTGAGCAAGAGATGATGCATGTCATGATATGACAAGATAATCACTCAAAGACAAAAATGATCAAAGCAACCACTAAAACAATGAGCAAACACGCAATAAGCAACCAACAAGAAGCAACATGCAACAAGCACATGCAATAAATAACAAAGACCCACAAAAGGCTCAACAAACAAAGAAAAATCAAAAGTTGAAAATTCCCCAAAGTTAAAGTATTAGCTCGACCCTCGTGAACCTAGAATATGGAAACCAGGGATTCTAGGTTCAGTCCCCAGTGGAGTCGCCAAACTGTTGACGACCACTTAAGATTTTTTTCAAAATAAATTGAAAAATCAAGTGTGAAATATATAAGAAAAGGGGAGTCGCCACTCGTCCAAATTATAA